TATAGTATTAATGTATATATGTATTCCTATATATATATGTGTGTGTGTTTGTGTGTGCGTGTCTACGTGTGTGTGTACGTGTATATCTATTGTTTAGACTTGTATATATATACCTTTTTATATATATACATACCTATATATATATCTATAAATATATATGTATATGTATATATAAATATATATATATATATATATATATATATTTGTATTTTATTTATCTATATCTATATCTATATCAATATATATATATATATATATATATATCTATATACCCATTTATATATATATATATATATATGTACATGTATGTGTATGTACGCGTTTATATATATAGATATATTAGACATACTTATATGTATATATTTTGTATATTGTATATAAAATTATATATATATATATATATGTATATATATATATATATTAATTATGCGTGTATGAATGTATGTATGTAAGTATATTTATATATATATGGCTTACAATACTGTGGGTGCGACCGAGGATACTGAATGACATATCTTTCATTATTGGACGTGGATAATCGAAAGCATACTGTATCGTTTAGTCCGTGAGAGTGTTATCTGTATGGTTGAATCGTCATTAGAATATTGAGAACAGTATAATCGCGTCACATTCACTTCTACTTACGTCGCAGAAGAAAAAAATCATATATGCGTTTTCAATAAATTAATTTGAAATCTTTTGCTTTTATGTATAGCTGAATTGGGTGGTATATTCACGCAACTGGCGACACTGGTGCATGAACAAGGACAAATGGCTGAGCGCATCGACACAAATACAATGGACGCAGAGCTTAACATAGAAGGTGTGATAGAATGAGTGACATGCGTTGTATTGTCAATATTGCGACTTTGTCAAGGGCATTCGATGTACACTTTGCTTCCGAAGAACCTTCTCTCTCGCACTATTTAGTTTGGCATTTATCCTCTCCTGCGTATCTAATACTTTCGGCGGTCTATATTCTTAGCCGCACTCTTTGATGCTGAATTTCGTACCTCGGTTTGCCTACTCCAGGTGCCCACAATGAACTTTTGAAGTACTTTAACTCGGTGTCGAGCAACCGTTGGCTGATGATCAAGATCTTCGCCGTTATAATAGTTTTCTTTGTCATATTCAGTCTCTTTCTCGCTTAAACGAGCAATAAAATCTAATGTCCTTGTACAAGATGAATGTCTCTCGTCTCTTATGTGACACGATGATATACGTACATACTTGCAGTAAAATTGTAGATAAGGTCACGAGTTTGAACTATCATTTTCCGTTTCGCATAATTATATGCCCAGAGGCAGAACCCCAGAAGAACATAAACCTACGCATAATGCGTCGTTCGCTATGACAAAGCTATATTGCGCCCACTTTCAGTCAGTGGTAAACAGCTAGCTATGATATTTACACTGCGTCTTGCATAAGTGCACTTTTGGTTTGTTGTTTGTTTTCCTGATATATGTGATTTCAGTTCTCGAACGACAGTCGATGTGCATTATATGCAGCTTTCAAGAGTGATTGAATGACCAAATTCAGCATTGAAGCCTCCATACCTGCTCAATTGTGCGTACAATCGTATACCCTAAGTATTTATGTTCTTCGAACAGTCGTTTTCAACTGTAAATGTACTATATTAAGTATCTGTGCGCAGAGTCGAATTTAAAAATGTCGAATAGACACAAGGGTGCTCACTAAAGTCTCGGACAAATCAACTACAGACAAGTATTTCTTATAGAATTTAGTGCTTTAGCATATGCTTGACTTTGCATCCTTCCCTGAGAATGTGAAAGTCTTGAATACGATATTTCGAAGCAGTATTGCTTTCTACACCCCTATTGATAGAGTGAACATTATGTTGGGGTGGTTATTGCGTCTCTGAAGGTGCACTCTCCTCCGCACTTTCCTCTGCAGCTGGCGCACTTTCCTCTGCAGCTGGTGCACTTTCTTCTGCAGCCGGCATACTCTGCTCTAGAGCTTCGGACACCTCGGAAGCTGGCACACTTTCCTCAATGGCAATAAAAGCTGGCACACTTTCCTCAGTGAAAATGACATCTTCAGTTGTTGCAGGATCCGACTCAGGTGCAGTACACAAAGGGACTTCAAGTTGGCCGAGTTCCGTGAGATAGCCACGCATAAAGGTGATCTGGGCATTCTGTGTGTTGATAACGTCTCGCAGCATTACTTCCACATCAGGGTCGTCCACATTGTCCTCAAGTATCTCCTTGAGTAAGATCTTGGCCATATTTACAGCGTTCACGTGGTGAGGAATCATCTGGTGCATAAAGGTGACGATAGAGTTATTGCCGTAATTCTCCACGGTCATCTCGTAGTTCATCTTACAGTCGATTGCATTTATACACTGCACGAACTTGTCATCTTGGTCACCGCATAAGAATACGCTACCGTCACAGTACTCGTCTATGCCGCCGCTCTGCGCACTGAACTGTGCCGCATCTGTGGTACCGCACATACTATCGAATCCCGATTGATTAGTGAATGCATACAACGGTTGTAGCTCGGCCTCAGTTGGCTGATCACCCTCGTTGTCCACTACGACTATCCTGGCGGACATTTTGTTATGCACATGACAGAAATAGAAGAAATCTGTTAGATTCGGGTCATTGATCGTTAGTTCAACTGTGTAGTTGTTCGTCTCCCAGAACTCAAGGGGGAAGGTGAATTCTGGCTCATATATATCCAGCTCGGACAACTCGTTGTTAATCATGTAAACAGGATAATCTCCGCCTCGCAGTCCCTCTTCAAGCTCATCTACTCCCTCATGTGCACCGTCAGCAAAGTATGCAAACCCGAGCGGATGGTACCAATTGCTGATATCCTTTTGCACAAATGTGTACGTTTCGCCGCGCACCATCGTCAGCGTGGGTTGAAGACCTTCATAACCTTCTACCGTGTAGTAGCCCGTTTCTGAGGCGAAAAGATCGACAGAGAAGACGAATGTGTTGTTTTCCAAGGCCGAGGCACAAGAGATGAAGAAACACGCTAGGCCGGCCGCCTGTCTATAAACCATTTTGTACAAGATTGAAATTTTTGTAACAGCTGGAACGTTTCAGGTGCGAGTGTGGTATGGTCCATCACAAGGCCCACTTTTATGTTCAATTCAGGAGGCTGTGAATAGTGTACAAAAACTGCAAAGTTGTGTCCAAATATGTACATAAAAATAAACATTGTACATACAGAAATACAATTTTTACACATTCGGAAATCGAAAGTCGCAACTCGCGAGTTTCTCCAGTTTCTCACACACACTCTCTCTCTCTCTCAAACTCTCTCTCCCCATCAGAGAGTAGTCTCTGACTCTCTATTATCTCAGCAAATCGGTACGACGGACACGTCCACAGCCACAAGTTGCACGACGGACACGTGTCTATGTACAATTGTACAGCCATAAGTTGCACGACTCGCACAAGTTAGGATTTAGGACCGATCTGGACTATGGACTGCTGGAGTAAGTCCAGTGTCCAGATTCACCGTCCTACTTCGAATCGATTGAGCTGAGCCACTAAAGCTGGATAATTTTTGAAATTAAGAATTCTATTTGTTTGTTTTTATGTTGGATTTTGACTCATTTTGGTTTCGATTCCATGTCCTTTTGTTTTTGTTGTTGTTTTAGGTCTAAACTATGTGGACTTGTGGACTCGCGCCCATCGATAACATTCCTCGTGTTCCACGATCCTTTACCTAAAATAAGCTGTCCTTGAAGTTTTTTTTAGTTTTGGGCTTTGCCGCTTTTTACTTTCAGGCATTGCCAGTTTTAATTCTACATATTTACATACGCCTCACGCGGGCCGATATCGTCCGGGATTTTTTATGTAGTGACGTAGGCTGTAAAATAGGAAAACTATGGAAAACGTACTTGTAACTCCTGTATTAGTGTTTGTTTATCTTTCAAACAATAAAAAAATCTCCTGCAGTCGTGCCTTGTGGCCTATTTTTTAACCATAGAGGCATAGACAGCCATTATTTATAAAAAACATTTTAAAAAACGACGAACAGAACAAGCCCGTAGATAACAGCTCAGGCCTCAGGTACTACGTTTGACGTTTACGTATTGAATATAAACGTAAGTACGTAATAAACTTGTACACAGTGTGCATATAGACGTAAGGCTCATAGTGTAAACGTACTACCTTTTCACGTTTACGAAATGATTTTAAACGTAATTACGTTTTATGATTTTGAGACCCGCCCTCAGGCCTCAACCCTACGCCCATTACGTTATGGGGGTACGGGATAGAAGTTGAGCGTAAACGCATATTTATTCAACTTCAAAACGTTATATCTGTTATAAGGTGATCAGAGAGCCTACCTAAGTTCTCTTATAGGGCTGGTTTCTATTGTAAAATATGTACACACTTAAATGTTTAGACCCTCAAGGTGCACCTATAAGCGTGAACGTAAACGTATATCTAACGGAAAACGGTTTGAGGTTAGCCTCAGCCCCTCACAGCCGGGCTCAGGCGCAGTCGCAGAGGCGATCAGCTCAGGAACAGTTTTTTTATTTAAAAAAAAACAGACCCAATGTATGCTCTGTCGTATGACTGACTACTGAGTAACTGACTACTGAGTACTGACTACTGTGTCCACTGTCCAGTGTTACCACAGTTCCACACTTCACTCCCTATACTCTCTGTCACTATTCTCTAAGCGATGCACTTTTTTTTAATGTTCTTTTAGAGAGAAAAGTTGTCATAATCGCGAGAATTCGAGTTTTCTATTTTCTTTAAAATCAAACAACAAATCAGTACATAGGAAAAATCAGTAAAAAGTACATACGAAAATATTTTTTTAAATTATATGGAGCAAATAAATGGAGCAAATCTCTAATCTGCAGTTCTTCATCCTTCTTCAACAAAACAAGAGCACGAGAGGACCCAATTTTAAATATATATCTATCAGAAATTCAGAATTCACTTCAGGAAGTACTAACAAGAGAAGAGTATCAATCATCAAATGCCAACAATTCTTCTCAGATTCTGTAAATATTTTTTAAATATTGTTTATATAAATATTTATTTCTAATTAATTGTTTTTCTAAATTACAACATATCAACTACTAGTCAATAGTCATAGACATAACTTTTTAATGGACAGTAGAAACTCTACTCTGGAAGAGTGTCAATTTATTTTGAGTGTCAGAATTGTTTTAAGTAGTTTTAAAAACATCTGTACAATTATATATATATATATTTTTTATTTTAAAGTTTTGTTTATGATTCTTATTCATACTTAGGCAGAGTCCAAAAGACACTTACCTCAATACCTCTACATAATCTCACATCACTAGCCTCCTCTCTCTACTAGAGTATGTAGTAGTAGTCTCTACTCTACTACTACTAGACTAGTAGTTCCGGGTGCCCTACTACAGTACTGAGGAGTTACACCGTTACACAGGCTCGCTCTACTAGAGAGAGTAGCCTCCAGCCTCCGGCCTTCCAGCCTCCAGCCTCCAGCTCTGAGGCCGGAGCTCACTCATCACTGCAACAGTCATCAGTCATCAGTCATCACTGGTGTCGAGTCTGGTGACTGGGGGGTAAGACCTAAGCTCAAAGCGTAAAAAGTTGTAACTTTTATTTTGCCCCGAATAAACATTAAAAGTTGTAACTTTTATATCTCAATGGTATCCTTTCATATATGTTAGGTGCATTTTCCAGGTCACTCAGGTGACAGTCGTCACAACTGAAACGCTTAATCTCTTTTGATTGTTTATTATCAATTTCGTGGCCTAAAATTTTCAACGATCGGACAGCTTATTGAGTGCAGTTTACAAAATAACTTTGTAGCTGATTTGTCCTAAATTAGTTTTAACTTTTTTTTAAATCAAAAAGTCAACATTAAAGTTGGAGCTTATATTCCGTACCCCTATAACTTATTGAGCTTAGGGTGAGACTGAGACAGTAAATAGACTATCTCTCTAAACTCCCAAGTATGTCGTGGTTACTTTGAGACACTGTCTCCCTGACACTGTGTAGTTTTTAGAGTGAGATCCGGTTGTGAGTTGTGACCTGTAGTCTGTAAAGTGTAGAAAGTGAAACTGTAGACTGGAGAGTGGAGAGTGTAGAGTTTGTAGCGATGTGTAGACTGTAGCCTGTAGAGAGTATAGAGTGTAGAGTGTAATTTGTTGACTGTATTCTGTAGCTCGTAGCATATTTTTAAAGGTGTAGAACTGTAGACTGCCGTAGAGCCCAGTCCACAGACTGTGGGCCACCTCAGCCCACCTGTAGGCTCTGGCTCAGGAATCAAGGGGCTCAGGGCTGTGGGCCTGTGGCCCTGTCACCTGCGCCCTGTAGTCTTGTGTAGGCTTCACTGGGCTCTGGCCAAGGGCACAATTTGGCCCAAGTATAGCCCTCTAATAGACGAAAGCCCCAAGCTATATCCTTTTGAATGACAGCCCCACAAGGCCCAAGCCCCCAGGCCCCAAGCTATATAGCCTTCTGAAAATTGAACAGTTTTCAGTATTATTATTATAAAAACAAAATGAGAAAACAGGCAATGATCGTTAAATTTATTTAAAAAAGTGCAAATAGTAGGCTTGCCCTATAGACTAATGAGGCCTAAACCGTTCTTTTTCGATTAGGAAAAATCGACAACGTATCCTTCAAAATAAAAAACAGAAGCAGAAAATCTTTACCTATGTAAGATAAACAAAAATGTAAAAATCTATTCAATATTAACAATATAAGCCAATCGGATCTTAAATTGGAAACTGTCAGAAATTTTGTAAATATGCGATTTATTTTATTCGATTTTGTATTTTAACACCCATCCATAGACTAAGGGGACTCGATTTTAAAGAACCAAACCTAATTCACTATATCCGGTTTAGGATATAATCCCAATTTTATTTTCTAGACTTTTTTCTAAAAACATTTCAAAAGAATCTTGCGAAGGAGCCAAGTTGATAGCTCTACTGGTTCATACTGTTATGTATCGATTTATGAACAGGATTGTGCACTTTTCGACTGTAACAAATCTTGGATTTCCAGGTCGCGTATTAGCAGTTTGAACCTTCTAAGGGTTCTAATATATAATAAATACAAGTATTATTAGTTCAGAAACCATCTTTGTGGAATAAAAGGCTTATTATGCTTGCTCAAAATCACCATTTACGTGCATGCGTATCCATCATTGACATCCATTTGGTGTGCATATTCAATTATATGTCTTCAATATGATTTTCAGACCTTCGTTATATCTATATAAGCATAATTAAATCATAGTAATGTTATTGCAATCGTTTTTAGGTAAATAAGTAGTAGATTTTGGCAAAGTTCAGGAAATGAGATTCATCGTGCAATCGATGGCATGGCACATCAAATGTCGTAAACACACTTTTTCTCGATTTTAGCCGCTGTGACTTGCATTACGGTTGTAAAAATGCATATACGATATTGTTTTGACAATAATTGTACGTGACAGCTTTGAAACTTTACTAATTATGCGTATTTAGACCCAATAATCGCGTTTTGGAGGTTTCCGATGTAGTGTTACTCCTAAGCATAGGTGTTCTACTTGTACTACGACCTTGGCGCCTGCATAGATCATTTACGAAATACTTAATCTTGAAATATGCCAAAAAAATAAATTATTGGGAATAAATTGAAGTCCAGATTTAGCAAATCAGGAACGCTTCTTTATTTTTGGCCCTATTTTATCCCCTTAGTACATGAATGGGGTGTTAAAAAAAAACAGCGTGCACGACAGGCACCGTGGGCGTGCAGGCATGCACACGTCTACTTCCCATGACTCCACGCGCGTGGAGTAGAGACAAGAGTGTGCACGACCACACGGTCAAGCAACAACATTTTTGTTTTGGTTTAAAAAAAAGTATATTAAGAATAAAACAATATGTTGGCTGTGCCGGACTGCCGGTAGCCCGGAACATAGATAAATATTTACATAAATAGCAGAATGCAGACTGCAGACTACCTTTGTATGTCTAGTTTTTTTTTTAAAGTATACAAACAAATAGCGTCTATGAATTATTTATATATATTTCGGGAGATCAATGTTTTTTTTATTACAAACCATGTGTCGTGTCCTACTGTGATGAGTATGACACTATGAGAATGTGACTCTATGAGTAGTCGCTCGTGAGACAGAAAGAAGAAAAAACTAACAGTCCAACGGACAAAGTTTGGACAGTCACAACTCACAACTCGCAACTCACAGCACAACTCAGTCTCGATTCTCAAGTCACTGTATTTTTTTTTGGAGAAAATCATTTTTCTTTCACTTTCAAATATTTTTATTGAAAAATGGTCGCGCCCACGTGGGTACAATTTATTGAAGAAGAATACTATCTACGAAGGAGTAGAGTAGAGTGGAGAGATAGACTACACTCTCTCTCTGGCTAGTAGAGAGAGAGAAAGAGGTTAGAATTGTGAGAGAGAAATAAGATCATTGCCTGAATACTTAACCACCATAGCGTAGCGAGTTAACAATAGCGCGCGGCGGGACGGCTACACAGACTTGAAATTCAAGTATGTATAAATGTAGGTGTGTATGCAGGTAAGTATGTATATATGTATATATGTATGGATATATGTATGTATGTATGTATGTATGAATGTATACATGCATGTATGTATGTGTGCATGTATTTATGTATGCACGCTTGTACGTACGTATGTATGTATGTCTGTATATATATATATATATTATGCATATGAACGTATGTAACGTGTGTAGGTGTATTATATGTATTTGCATATAAATACATATATATATATATATATATATATATATATATATATATATATATATATACATATATATATATATATATATATTTGTATATATTATGCATATGAATGTATGTAACGTGTGTATGTGTATATGTGCATCTGCATATATATATATATAAATATAGGTATGTGTGTGTGTGCATGTATGTATGTATGTTTGCATATGTATGCATATGCCTATGAAAGCAGCATATATATGTATATGTATATATGTATATATATACATATGTGTGTGTGTGTGTGTGTTTGTATGTATATGTATGTATATATATATATATATATATATATATAAGTATATATATATATATATATATGTGCGTGTGTGTGTGTATGTGTGGGTGATATATTTATGT